CATTAGCTTTAAAGTTACCGTTAGCTAGCCAATAACGGTTGACGGCACTGATTTGAAGCGAATGTGTTTGTTAGTGTTCGGCTTCAATCTGGTGGTAAGCCGAGCTGAGTGTTACAAATAGCCCAGGGTCTTCTCTGCTGGAGCTGAAATAACAGGAGCAACAAAAGCGGTAATGGCTTTACTTTCGACAACCCATTGCTTAGAGAAAGTATTGGTGTAATTTAATATACCGCACCGCCGCCCTATGCCCAACCTCCAGCCCAGTTTTGCTGGTTTCACCGCTCGGCCCCCGTCATGTCGTTATGCTTGAGTATTGGTTGCAAATTATGCAGATTTCTGGACGTCGACGGAGGAGGGCTGGAGGCCGGGCCAGCGGAATGCTACGTGTCTTGGAAGTCCCTTTTTAAAACCCCCTCGTCGTCTTCGGTTACCGTAGCCAAAAGTTTGTAGGCTACAACTCGAGCGAGAGACAGACTCCCCCCCTCCATCCAGGCCTCTGTGTGTCCCAGCCCGGTGTCGAGCGAAATGTCCGGAGTGAAAAAGCTGCGTACGGTAAGTACTTAAGATGTGGAGATGTGGGCAGAGGGAGACGTCTGAAATTCAAGCTGTCATCAAATTCTTCTTTTTATAAAAAAAAAAAAAGTGTGTCAAAAGTGCAGCGAAGTGTGTGTGTGAACCACTAGCGCCCGGTATGTGAAAAAACTCCTCCCAAGTGTGTGTTTAAATTAAATGTCTTGTTAATGTAACGTTACTCGTTGACGATGCTGTCACTCACTGAGGTGTCGGTGCTATGTTACAGATAAAGTGAAAAGTAAGATCCAGTAGTTCGACTTTTTTCCGTCAAAGAAAGCTTTAAAAGGTTTTTTTTTTTTAGTTTTTATTTACTGTAACTACCAGGTGTGATGGTTGCAGCCTTGACTCTGAATAGGCCGGTTGTTGTAGTAACGTATCCATGTCAATCTGGCCCATTCATAACGCTGGGTGTCTTGTGAGGGGGGGGGGGAGAAAGAAACCACTGTGAGACTGCAGGCTGATGGTGCACAGGAATGCTGCTGACTCTAGGTGGAGTCATTAAAAGAAAGAACAGTCAGAAGTCAGTACCAGACGCTGTAAGTTCACAAAATATCCCCAAATGTTGTCCCCTTAAAAAGCTGCATTGTGTAGATACCACCACTGAAAGTGTGCACTATTACAAACAGTGAGTGACAGATTCTACTTTATAGATGGAGTAGGTGGAGTCATGGAGAGAAAGACTCTCCAGATAGGTGGAGGATAGGTTGTAAGGTCCCAGGTGTTTCTTTTTGTGCAGTAGTGTGTTGCAGACAGTGTGCAGACACCGCTTCCTCTCTTTAAACTCGGATAAAGCTGAGTATCAGCAGCCACTTTGGTAACTGAAATGTTTCGGTCATTTGTGAAGCAAAAATGTGAAACGTCTGCGGATTCCAGTTTCTTAAATGTGAGTGTTTGCTGCTTTTTTTTCTTTTTTATCTGATTGTTTAATATATCTGGGTTTAGACTTTCGATTGGACGGAGCAATCAATTTAAATATGTGAAGTATTTTCTGATGTTTCATAGACAAACTGAGGAAATTATAGACTAATCAATGATGGAAACGCTCATTAGTTGCAGCCCTACGATCACACATGATTTAATACATATCAATGATTTGAGTTGAATGTACCCACGGTGTTAGTGTTACTAATACTTTGTCAAAATGCCTTTACTATTTCCACTATTGCACATATTGCACTTCAGTTTAGACATTTCAGAACGCTATCATAGTTTTATCTATTGTGATTTCCTGAGCAACAGGATGTCAGCTGAACTGGGAGAAAGAGAAGAAGAGTTACATAAGGTCCTCTAAATCTATAATAACAAGAGTTTATAGCTCATTTCTTTCACAGGAATGCAGTTCAAAGGGCTTTTTAACGGGACACTTAAATGTAAAAGCAAGTGAAATGAAACAAGTGAAGAGGTAAAACAAATGAAAAAACGGATTAAAGTGAAGTTAGATTAATAATAACTAAAGATTTGGAGAAGGAGAGTTGTTTTTTTTTCCTTAAATAAATCCAGATGTTACGAGGTGCCATCATTGTCAGCACACAGAAAATACACCATGTTCCCACGACTGTTGAAAGGGAGGAAGAGGGGAGAAGCAGCAGCAGCGTGATGGAAGGAGAGGAGGTGTCTCCTGTGTGTCGAAGAACAGCGCTGTTTGTCTACGGCTCCCTCACCTTGCGAGGGTGTGTGCAGGGGTCGGCTACGTGTCATTGGGGAAGATCACGCTCATCATTAGAGCACGTAAAGTACATATTTGTACTGAGCCGGAGCTACACGTCACACTTTATTAACAAAACGACTAAATCTCTCGTCAAACTGAGTCATATCTGCTATGATTTCTATTTCTTAATACCAGCAACGCCCCAAAAACAGTTATTTAAAAACCCAGCCAATGTATGTATCCCCTCCGCTCGTAATACAACCAGCAAGTATTTAACTTTATGTGACGTTTTCTCACATTCTTGATGAGGAAGGGGGTTAGTACGCAGAAAGTGAAGCCATGGGATGGATGTGGGGAAGAAGGGAGAGTGGGCGCAGAGGGCGAGCGTGTGGGCACGAGCACTGCCACATCATCGCTGGGCCGCAGGCAGCACACTGGACACATTGTCCCGTCAGTCGTCCTCCTCCCTTCATCCCTTCATCCCTCCCTCCTCTACCCCTCCCCTCTAGAAGTCAATACAGCCCCATTTATCCGCAGCAGGATCCACACAGTCCGTTTGGACGGGGCGCGCAAAACCAGTCAGTATGCTAAAGTGAGTTGTAATCACGCCATGACTTAGTTTAGAAATGAATTCAGCAAAAATTCAGGCTGCTGGAAAGTATTAAATGGTGTTATTCGCTGTTTTCCGAGGTGTTACATTTTGTATATTTAACCAAAGAGGTTGTGTGATAAAGTTTGTGTGGGTTTAATTACTATGTAGTTAGTTAGTTAGTAGTGCACTCACTAAACTACCAACTGGTTGAAGGACAAGTAGTTTGAACCCTGACAGAGACAGACGTGCTGTTCTGTGTCCTCAGTGAGGATCAGTGCGCCCACATGTTAAATACGAGCTATAAAACACGTTCGGCTCTTACTTATGACCATATTTCACAGTTTATCGGACAACTTCTGACTCAAAACGACACGTTGGAACATGTGTTTGGTCTGCCTCAAGATTTGATGCAATATTTATCACAAATTTCACAAAGAGGTTTAATGGTTTACAACAATGAAGTGATGACATTTAGCAGAACAGACAAAGTGGAAGTGGTGTGTGTGTGTGTGTGTGTGTTGCATAACACAGTTAACGTGATCTATGCATCCACTCACATCCTGTTTGGCCACTAATTATAATAAATAATTCCCCAGAACCCCTTTAGCTCTCCCCGTTCTGAGCCTGTGTTCGTCTGTCTTAGGATCTCAACAGGTCGACCAACGTGGTGTACCAGGCCCACCATGTCAGCCGGAGCAAGAGAGGGCAGGTGGTGGGTACCAGGGGAGGCTTCAGAGGCTGCACCATCTGGCTCACCGGTAAATCTCCATAGTCTTATATGATATCCACCATAAGGTTTAATCTGACACGGCCTATTTTCATTCAACCTGCCCTCATGCTCATATGTCTCCTCACATTTCCCCTCTAGGTTTGTCTGGTGCCGGTAAGACTACCATCAGCTTTGCCTTGGAAGAGTATCTTGTGTCCCACGCTATCCCTTGCTACTCACTGGACGGAGACAACATTCGCCACGGCCTGAACAAGAATCTGGGCTTCTCTGCCGAAGACCGCGAGGAGAACATCCGGCGTATCGCTGAGGTGGCCAAACTGTTTGCAGACGCCGGGCTGGTGTGCGTCACCAGTTTCATCTCTCCTTTCAGCAAGGTCAGAAAACAGTTACAGTCATTGTTCAGGTGCATATCTGTTCATTTAAATACCTGGAAACATTAAATAATGCAGCTTCATACCAAACGTCTTGTGCGCTATTTTTTTCCCAGCAGACTGGAAGACACTGCAACACTTTAAACTGTATTTAAATTAAATCTATGTATACTGTTTTCTTCCACAGGATCGTGAGGAGGCGAAGAAGATCCACGCAAGTGCCGGTCTGCCATTTTTCGAGGTGTTTATTCACGCTCCTCTGGAGGTGTGCGAGAGCAGGGATGTAAAAGGGCTTTACAAGAAGGCTCGCGCTGGAGAGATCAAAGGTCTGTGGATCAGTTTTCACCCTGAGCAAGCTCGCTCCTAATTTTGTGCATGCTGAGTCATACAAATAATGACAGTAACTTTCTCCAACCACAGGGTAGTTCCCTGTTGAGGTTTTAATTTGCAAATTTCAGCTTCAGTCACATTCCTGGTTTTGGTTTTTACATTCGTTGCCAGGTTTCACTGGGATTGACTCAAATTATGAGCGTCCTGAGGTTCCAGATCTCGTACTGAAAACTGGAGAGCTGTCAGTGAATGAATGCCTCCAGCAGGTGTTGGAGCTGCTCAGGGACCAGGTGGGTGGAACAGACAAACATCTTTGGCCTCTCTGCTGCATTGTACTGTGCATGTTGTATCACACACAGCTTTCATCACCTATCATACACGTCAAATGCAAATACCTTTAAGTCTGCACGGAATATAATATCCCTATTTAAACAAGAAGCTTTTGTCACAAAGCGAGCTCCATCCATGCAGGGATGGGCTATGGTTGCTAGCCTCTTAAAAAACAAATATTGAAACAATGATGATCGTATTCTTCTTGGTCAGTTCTGGATTTTTCCAGTCCAGTGCTGAAGACTCCCAGAGTGCACATAGGTTTAACTTAGAGTAACTTAAAGTAAGAGTGTAAACACCAGCTTTTTATTGACCAGTCACTGAGGCATAGGTGAATTACTTTTAAATACAATACTGATATGTCAGCATGACTTTGCGCAAAAGATTTTCATAAGTTAATGTACCAGTGTGTAGGATTTAGTGGCATCTAGTGGTGTAATTGCAGATTGCAACTCCCTGACTTCACCTCTTCTTCTTCCCCCTCCAAGCACGGATGGGAGACTGCGCTGGCTGCACTAATGTGCACTAATTTAAACATACCTATGAATATTATATTCCATTTCTGCCATTAAAGCCTAAAATATTACACACTGGACTTTTAAGTGCATTGCTTAATAAATGCCAAAGGAAAGCTGTGTCAGTCTGTGCATATCTACCTTGTTCACTGGGCAAACCAAGCTGTGTCTGATTTCATTGACAAAGTGATGGCATGTTCACAATCTCTGGAGATGTTGTAAGTAAGTAATAAAAACTTTGAACTCTGGGAATGAAGGAGCGGCACAGCCGACCATGACGAAACTTGCTTCAGGACAGATTAAGTTTTCAACTGAATTTAATATGGAAATATGCAAACCTGAAAAAAGTATGTTTACCAACCCACCAATGTTTGTATAAAAGACCTCAAATTAAGTAGCTACAGCAGTTTTCATTCAGTATTACTTTAAATGTACTATACATTTGTACATTATCATAGAGCTCTCACAGTTAGTCTATTATTTAATTACTCATCAAAATCAAACTAATTTTGATAATTAATCGTTTAAGTCGTTTATCAAGCACAAATGCTGATTATCCTCTGGTTCCTGATTCTCAAATGATATAGATACATTTCTTTGTGATATGATAGTAATGAAATATATTTGGGTTTGAGCTGTTGGTTGGACAATACAAGACTGTCGAGAAATGAATCATCAGATTAACTGATAATGAAAATAACTGTTAGTTGCAGCCCTACATAATATTAATATTCCCTTTTTCTCCTTGTATATAGAATATCGTACCAAGCGGGATCATGGAGGAGCTGAATGAACTCTTTGTTCCGGAGAACAAGCTGAATCTTGCTGTGGCTTACGCACACACACTTCCCACCATCAGCATCACCAAGGTAACCCAAGTGTACGGGGGTCAATACTAGACATGGCAGAGAGCCGTCCATGATGAGCCCATAAACACTCCCCACTGTTTGGACTCTTCCCTGGGTGCTAATAAAGACATACAGCCTACCAGGCATACAGCAGCGTGCTCCTCCTGTCAAATTACCGTTCAGGTTCATTCCCTGGAGCTCAGTGAAGATTTCTACTAAAAGAAGAATAGCAGTTTCATTTTCTTGTTATTTCGCTCTTTAATGGCCTGTTTGAATTTTTTTGTCTGATGCATTTACTGTGTGTTGTGTTTTCAAAGAAGTGACACAGTCGCAGTTATATATTCCTTCAGTCAAAAATGTCCAGTGGACTTTTTTTCAAGCTGCCATGTGGAGAAAGAAACACAAAATGATACATGTGCTAATACAGGAATATAGTAGTCTTCAATATGATGAAATGTTCTTTATTTAGAAGATTTATGAGTTGTTTTTCATCAGAAAATAAAACCGTAATAATTGTGGTGAAAGCCAGTTCATGAAAAAAATAAAATGATGTCGGGCATAATAACCTGCAATCACATCTAGGAATCCTTTATCACAATTACACATACGTCTACATTAATCAGAGATTCCACTTTAACTGTTTGTTTTGTTTTCATTGTTTTTATCTCTTCCGTTTATTCATTGTTTTAGGTTTTTGTTGTTGTTTTCTTTTCTTTTCTTTCGCATACGTAAGCCCTGTCTTTGTTCTGGGGTGGCGACACCTTGTCTGCTAATGCACAATGTGGTTCAATACAAAACAAAAAACAAAGAAAGATAAAAAGAAAGGCAGTTCATGAAGAAAATACAATTACACCTTCAGCTGCAGTCTGCAACATGTTGTCTCAGACCATATTGTCATGGTTTAGTGAGGATGATGGCAAACAAATGTTACTAACTAGCGCTTTGCTAACATTGGCTTGCTAACTTAAGATGTGATACATATATTTCGCTTTTAACCGTCTTCATAATGTGGTTGAGTGAGGTTGTGACTGAGGCTCGCTCTACTGTTATTGGAGCACAGAGCAAACTTAGGAAAAAGCTGATTGGTCGAGTTAAATCCATGGCTTTCCTGAAGTGTAAATGTTGTCTTTGTGTCCTGCTGCTGTTGATAATAAGTAATATTAATATAGTAATATTTCTTTATCCACAGTTGGATCTACAGTGGGTGCAGGTCTTGGCAGAGGGCTGGGCTAGCCCTCTGAGGGGCTTCATGAGAGAGAGAGAGTTCCTGCAGGTCTTACACTTTGCCAACCTGCTGGATGGTGAGAGAAGACCACACGTCATATTTACTCTTCTTTTAACCTACCAGGACTTTATCGCTTCTAAAAGGCTGATAGTGATCGTTCAAACTGAGAACTATCATTTTTAATCACAGTGCAATTTATTTTAAAATAACACAAAACTGTATATGAACAAATGAAAGTATGAAAGACTCTTTTTTTTATGATCCAGTCCCACCTAAACACAGTTTAACACAGAGTTGCTTTCTTTGATATAACTAAAAAAGAGATGATATAATAGGTAATATAACATTCACATGGAAATCTATATCAATATACATGTCACAATGAAGTATTTTTCACACATCATATATGACATGAAACAAATCATTGCTGGAAACCACATACTGTACATGTTCCTAAGAAACGGTAAAATGTGTTTTAACAGAATCACAACACAACAGAAAAAGAATATAAACTCTATACAACACAGTTATACAGATATTATGAAGTTGTGTCAGTTTCATTGAGTTTTTTCATTATTTCTGCGTCTTCCAACAAAACAGATGTGTTTTTTTTGTTTTACTGAAAAGCTTCTTTCTTAGATCATGATAGGACAATATAAAACATGTTTATCTGTTTCTGTCTTTAACTTACATAACTAAGAAATCCAAGCCTGTTTTTAAAACCATAAAAACATCCAGTTTCCAGATGTAATGGTAAGAAACCACACATCAGTTGGGCTTTTTCTTTTTTAAATATCAACATTTTGACTTATTTAATTCCATTTTGTTATGTCAAATCAGATCATATTTATTTATCTTTATCTTTTAAAATGAATTAACTTTTCCTCATACCTGGTTTTTAATATTAAGTGTTACCAGTCTGTTTCACAGCCAGCCCAAAATACATCACAGCCAGCTGAGATCACTGGTTGAGATCACTGCATCCTCTTGTGTCTTAGGCGGAGCCATCAACTTGTCTGTTCCCATCGTCCTGCCTATTAGCGCTGAGACCAAGCAGGAGCTGGACGGCTGTGCGGCTGTAGCTCTTGAGTACCAGGGTTCGCGTGTGGCTATTCTCAGGAACCCAGAGTTCTATGAACACCGCAAGGAGGAACGCTGTGCCAGACAGTGGGGCACCACTTGTCCACAGCACCCTTACATTAAGGTAATAAGGCATTCATCAAATGTCTTCGACACACACAGTTATAATTTCAATGTCTACCACATGATTGCTCTGCAGACAGTACAGTCCTCTGGTAACTACATCATTGTTTACTTTCACTGTGTCAATATTGAACTCACTCTTTGTGATTCTCTGGCAAACAAAACATTTATCAGGCCCCAGACAAATCTTGTCGGTTAAACAACTGGTATTCTCTGTTCATCACCTTACCGTGCAGATGGTTATGGAGGGAGGTGATTGGCTGGTAGGTGGTGATCTGGAGGTGCTGGAGCGAATCAAATGGAACGATGGACTTGACCAGTACCGCCTTACGCCAAAGGAGCTCAAGCAGAAGTTCAAAGACATGAAAGCAGGTAAGAAAAACTCAATTACGCACAAAACTGCAGCAACAATCAGAGGACACACGATAGCATACCAGCTGCTGTAAGTAGCTGCTGTCACTGGGGTGACGCTCACGATTAACACCATTCCATAAATATGATACCCATCACAGCTGGTGACAAAAATAAACAAACATGAAAACAATGTATTTAGCAGTGCATCATTTGTCTTTCAGAAGAACTTGACAAAGGACCAGATGAAAAAATAAAATGGTAAATGGTCTTAAAGCTGCATGGTGTTGTTTGTGATCTGTGTTCAGTGACCAGTGGAGACATAAAGTATCTTTCTGAAAACAACAATAAAATGTAAGCACCTGTTTTTACTCTCACCTACTTGACATCAATGCTGTGTTCAAGATTGTCAATTATATATCTCCAACACAACACAGTATGTATTTTGGTAATGTTGTGTTTTTCAGCAGTCTTTGCTCCCCGATGGTCCGCCCTGAGTATCATTGCTGGTGCAAGCATGTTGTGGTGCGGACTTAACAGATTAGGCTGACAGTATTCTGCATTCTTGTGTTGTTAATTAATTTAATGAAAAGACCAAAACCAACAATGTGTTAGTCCGTCTCTCAATACTTTCCAACAACTGGAAACCAGTGGAGCTCTGTGGAATTAGCTGCATCGGGTTTTGTTAACCAGCGCTCACAATAAGGATGTCCTGTTGTCCTGGAAACAATAACAATAGCACCTGGGACACAAAGATACAGTGTCTGGGACAATAGAATAATTTTGAATGTAATCTTTATTGTTAGGTGTTCCAATTTGAAAAATGTGTGGTGGCAGCGGCACAAGCTCTTCGCTACATGCCGCACTCTTACACACACAATCATTCCCACAGAGCGCTAGTGTTGCCAAATCCAGCGACCTGTAGACTCATGTAGCAATTTTTCCCACGTTACAATGTATGTATATGTCTCTTCAAGGCGCTGTATTGTCACTGTCAAATTCCTCTTTTGTGTTTTTCTGTTGTGTTTGTGGTGTTTTTCCTGATGTTTTTTTTTTGTGTAGCAACAGATTGTAGCATTGTGTCCTTGTGTTTAAACAGAGAAAGCCAGAGCACATTCATTTCATTGTATTTCAAATACACAAGATAAAGTTGAACTTGAACTTGATGAAATGTTAAAAGGGCTTTCTGCAGGCCGTTGGTAGGTGTGGCGTGCTGGGTTCGTTTAACCATATCGGCCACTCATTCTTTCCTAATCTCTGGATTATGGTGTTCCCAAAGTTTATATGTCAATAGTTGGTTTGAGCTTGTAAATATTTACATAGGTAATCTGATCTTCTCCCTCCCTTTTTTACCTCCAACATACAATGTCCCTGTGGTGAGTTTGTGATTATTTGTCTAATTAATAATAATGTTCAAAGTGTGTATGTTGATTTCCACCCCATATACCAGGGTTGCGTTTACACTGCAGTTTGCATTGATGCATTTATTAATGAAACGGTTAGAAATAAACAAACAGTAACTCAACCGATGGCTAAAAGAATAACTAAAACTGATTGTGGGGTGATTAGATTTTTTATTCAGATATAAGTGCAGAACTTCAGTGGTGGACCAGCGGTAATGAGTTACTGAAAGAAAGTTAATAAACTATAATCATCATAGAGAATAACAAAAGAACTTCAGTTTGAGACAATGGTTGTTTGTCTGGGACAGCTGAAAGTAGAATTTAGGACACAGAGAAAAAATGTATTTCAAGCCCTGGACAACAGTTGAGGATGAATTAATTGTCGGTTTTGGCCTTTTCATGGGATTTGTTAACAATAAGAAAAATATAGACAGACTTATGCTTTAAACCACAAGCAATTTTGATATTTTTGATTTGATTTGATATTTGCTGAATGTAAGAAGCCATGTCCGTTTGAGTTATGTGAAAGGCATTGTGAGCATGTTTGCTGTGACATGCTGTGCATGATAAATGCACAATATCCCGCACACATTTGGGACAGATCACGAAGCTCAACAGCTCCACTGTACTGTAATCCTGCTGCTGTTATACTCTGATACTGCTGCTGTTACTACAAACACTCGTTACGTTGTCCCCCCTCAGATGCGATATTTGCGTTCCAACTGCGTAACCCGGTACACAACGGCCACGCCCTCCTGATGCAGGACACCAAGCGCCGCCTGCTGGATCGAGGCTACAAGAATCCGGTCCTCCTACTGCACCCACTTGGCGGGTGGACCAAAGATGACGATGTGCCTCTGGACTGGCGGATGAAGCAGCATGCTGCCGTCTTGGAGGAGGGCATTCTGGACCCAGCCAACACCATTGTGGCCATCTTCCCCTCACCCATGATGTACGCTGGACCCACAGAGGTGAGGAGTCGTGTGGGCTTATTGTTTAGTCAGTTTGTTATCCCTCCTGCTCTCGCCCGTTCAAACATTTACCCGTGACATGTATGTGTGACTGAGTATTAACCTGTATGCCTCCCAATTACCTCATCAGGTTCAGTGGCACTGTAGAGCCAGAATGATTGCCGGAGCAAACTTCTACATTGTTGGCCGGGACCCTGCAGGCATGCCTCACCCGGAGACTAAACAGGACCTGTATGACCCCACCCATGGAGGCAAGGTCCTCACCATGGCCCCGGGCCTCACCTCTGTAGAGATCATCCCCTTCAGGGTAGCTGCGTACAACAAGACTAAGAAGGCTATGGACTTCTACGACAAAGAACGGTAAGTGAACAAAGATCTGTTCACTTAAACCTTCACCGTATTCTGTTGTCTACTACATATAATATATTAATATATACGTATATATCTACAAATCAAGTCAAGTCACTTTATTGTCAGATGTGCTATACATGCACGACAATACAGCACAAATGAAATTTCAGTCCTCTCGGACCCCGGTGCAAACATGCAATAAAAAATAGAAAGAATATAAAAGATATAAAATGAAACAATCTACATTTAACAAGACATAAAATAAACAACAACAATCAGAATCTATACTACGTTTTCTTTATTTTGTTTTTACTATATTATTTATTGTAAAACCTGGATTCTATTGAAATGGTTTTCCTGTGCGAAGCCCAAATGCGAGGAAACTGAAGCGAATGAAAAGGATAAAGCGCAGCACTTCATCAGTGCTGCTACTCTGTGATTTTTCTGTCGGCACATTTTTTTTCCGACTTGCTGCTAAATTCAGTTTCAGCATTACATCCTCCTGCACACATTCGTAGGCCCAAATCTTTTAAGCCAAAACATGAATTTCATGAAACACCATCTGTGACCCCCACGCCTTATCTTGTTGGCACTGCAAGTAGACTGTAGTATCAATCTTAAGAGTTGTTTGTTTATATCCACCCGTTGGTGTTTCTGTGCAGGTGTTAATTATTCGTATAATTTGCAAATATTGTAACATCGGAAGACTCCATGACACTTCTAATGACCTATCCTGCCCACTCTCTCCACACTACCCCTCCGCATCCCTCACTCTCTTAGACATGCTGAGTTTGAGTTCATCTCTGGAACCAAGATGAGGAACATGGCTCGGAGCGGAGAGAACCCTCCAGATGGTTTCATGGCCCCCAAGGCCTGGAAGGTGTTGGTGGAGTACTACACCTCTCTTCAGAAGGACAAGTAATCAACGCAGCGCTCTGCTCGCCAGTCAACAGCATACTGTAAAAAGATTCTAGTCATTTCTTAAAGGGGGGATTTTAGGTTGATTCTTATTTTATACATTTAGAGCGATGGATTTAGATTACTATAAATAATGAGTCATTCTGGCAGGGGTGAGTGTTTGTACAAGTCTTAACCAAATCAGAATGACTTGTCTTAAAGCATTACATTTTTACATTCCTATAATATGATTTATATATCCACTGTATGTTTATATGCATATTAACTTAAGCTATGTATTTTAATAAATTAAAGGTATCTTGAGATTCTTTTTTTATTTTCTAAGTTTAGGAGCACAGCCCAAGACGGGGAAATCATTTTTGATATTCACATGTAATTATCTGAAGGATGCATTAAAAAAAACATGTAGAGTTCACTTGTTATAGCCTTTAATGGAATTATTTGTATGACCTGAATGAAAGTGACTCGCAGTTTTTATCACTACCTACAGTGCCTATTTGTTTTACATGTATGGGTGTTGATTAATTCATCATGTTCATGTTTCATATTATCGTGAAATATAACACAGATGTTTTTAATAATGTGAAAGTGCCTTTCTCTCAAATTTCAACATTGTAAAACAGCAATTGTTGAAATTTTTTGCTGGCGTTTGCTTGAAATGTCTCTGAGATGTGTGTGATTTTATAATGCGGGAACGTGCATTCATGTAATAAAGCAGTTTTAGGAAGACAACATATGTCAAATAATGCAGTAATAAAGGAGCTTATTTGTTATTATGAATCATTGGTGACCTGCCTTATACTATCGTGTAGATGAGATACGTTTTCTTTTCAGTGACATCTCTGTCCTGACTTTATCTAGCTGCCACTGGTTATGCAACATACCATACATTCACTTCTGTCTGTACAAGGTGCATACTTATCTATTGAACGTTAAAGGTCGAAGTCGACTGAGCAGAGTGGCATTCTGGGGCTGCACAGCCAAAAGTGCAATGCTGCCATCTGCTGGCAACAACTGGTGCAGGAAAACACAAAAATAATAGAACAAAAAACTAAGGTAAATGTATGTATACCAGTCACATTGTGTTTCTGACAGGCTTCATAACTGCACTCGTCATACTAACTTCACACACTGAGACCAGAGCCAGAGATAGCCCTGTGTTTCTACCTGTCGACCAAAAAACAGCCATTTTCTGTTAAATGGAGAGTGAACTAGGACTAGCAGCAGTCACAGTGAGCAGCAGAGATGTTCTTTAAAATAATCTAATATGCTGTGTGTGTGTTTGCTTTGGAAAAACGCATGGTTTGGCTCTAGATTGGCTTTGCCAGCTAGATCTTTTATAACAGATTAAGGAGATCCTGAGACGCTTTCAAATTACACTTAAGAGATGGTTGGGTGAACTTGAAGGACTGATTAATTTTGCCAGTCATTAAGCTGTACGGGCTTACATTGCTACGAGATGAGTGTTCTTCTATGAGGAGAACCAGTCTCCCCCTGTAAGAAGCAGATTCCTAATTAGCCTCACATGGTATCAGATCATTTAATCTGCGATGTTCCAGGTAACCCCATTTAAATCTGCTGAACTGCACCCTCAGTACTTATATAAAATCTCCAACTACTGTACATCCAACATGTCTCGTCACTGAGAAATGACCAGGATGGTTCCCGGTCCTGCAGGCCTAACATTCAGAATAAAGGCTAACCCCGTTTTAACAACCAAAATGTGATTCTACAAATTGAACACAAGTCACATTTCCACTCAGGCTGACGTGCAAAGCTGCTTATGTCGTGTTAATAATTGTGAAATAGTTATCACTGATTTTTATCTGAAATGGTTTGCACAGCTGTCATGTTGCATGGACATAAGTTACTGAAGATCATGAAGCCCCTCTCATTCTGTGGCTGGTGCTGTAACAGTAGCGGGCCCTGCCAATGAGCCACTGAACAGAGGCACATGGTGTGAGTTGGGCTGGTGTGGTGATAATGCATCTGTGCTGCAATTAACGGTTATTTTACTATTCTATTGGTTAATCTGCAAATGAGTTTTCCAGTTATTACTTAATAGATTAGACTAAAATATGTCAGAAAATTGGGGAAAATCCCATCACTATTTCCCAGGAGTATCAGGTGACGTCTTCGCATTGCTTGTTTTGTATGACCAACAGTCCAACATCAAAGATATTCAAGTTACTTATCATAAAGGAATAAGAAAACTAGTGAATGTTTACGTTTGAGCAGTTGGAACCTTTTGACACTTAAAAAAACACGTAAAAAAATGAATCAATAATCAAAATGCTTGCCGTTTGATTTTCTGTGAAATTGATTAATTGACTGACTGTTTCAGGTCTAACCCAACCCTGTAAAACCCTCCCTTACATAGGCCTATTATAGTTACATCCTCATTATGAACATTTTGGTTACTTCTTCGTATAAAGTGTAACACAGAATGACATTATTATTCTTACTGACATTATTATAATACAAATCTGGGCTATGAATGTATCTTTAATGTTATAATGCGTAATATTTGTTTTTTTTTTTCACTGCTAGTGTGTGTTAATGAAAACAACTAAAAAGACTATGTCTATGGTTAATGCCCATGCAATTAACAACGTTGTTATAATGTAGGGTTGATGTGAGGAGGCTGTATGAAGGTGCTGCTAACTACATTAATGTCCCTTTGTAAAAACCATAAAGGCATTACGGATCGATAGGTTACAATGGTATGTTGTCTATAGCCGCAGATGACAGTTAAAACCGCGAAAAGTGACATTATGTTGGAAACTTCCCTAATTACAGACACACGTGATCACTTTGACAGAAGGGAGCGTCGCATGCGGACTCACTTTTATCCTTCCGCCAGAAGCAAGAAATAACTCGATAGTTGCGCTATTTAGGGTTAAAACAATTACACATGCGAGCAGTTCTTCATCGGCACCTCACAGCGAATGTGACAACCATGTGAGTTAACACCGCGTGTGTCGGTTTTTAGTGAAACAGCGGGACTATATAGCGACCGCGGCGGGATATTTGTTCTAAAATCCCAGCCTGCTCTACCTTCTTTTTTTCCTTCGGTGGAGGCCATGATGGGAGCCTGAGAGTTCAGCTGGAGCGAGAGGAGCGAGAAAAGAAGATGATTCCCCGGGACGGAGCTGTCACACCAATCCGTGCACATTCCTGATCGTTGTATAGTCTATATACAGTTAAGGTGGAGCCTGTCACTTTTGTTCAGATGTGTTCTTGGCAATCAGTCGATGACAATGTTGAATCGTTAGGAGGCTTTTGGATCGAAGAAGGAGGCAGCGTTAGCCATTGTTGCTAGCGAGCTGCGCTAGCTAGCTTCATAGCTAGCGAGCTAGCTACGTCTGAGTGACTGAGTGACTGGGTCCGGGTCCGGGTACGGGTTTCGGGAACCGGTGAGTTCTCTGTCCTGTCTTTGTCAATCGCGGCGGCTGCGATTGAGCCACCGGCGTGGACTCTGTCTGGCGTCTAAAGGTCTCCCCGAGGACAACTGCATGTATTTTATTCGGGGCTGTTCGCAAGACGAATCGCAGGATCGGGACAGTCGGGCCTGCGCGGAGGAGCAGAGCAAGGCCCGTCTTTATGATCCAGAGGAAGCCTTTCTAATCCCACCGACGGCCACGGCTAGCTCTGCTGGCTAGCACGTCTCTGCGAGGGACCTGCAAAACCGAGAGAGAGAGAGAGAGAGGACCCCACCGACTGCGACACCCACGACGAGACGGCCAGTTGTAGAAAAGCGGTGTTTTTACCCCATTTACCCCGTAGAGACTCCTGTCACCTGCTACAATGGCTGCGATTATAAAAGAAATGGTCAGCCGGAACAAAAGGAGATATCAAGAGGATGGGTTCGACTTGGACTTAACATGTATCCTTCCGTGTGTTTGTCATTTCCACAGCAGCCCGACTCGCCATGCGTGGTGTTTTGCGTTGAGGAGTCGGACTGGAAGCAGAAAATGTCAGCGGAGTAAACGTGAGGTAGTTAGCTTTCACTGCTACGGAGCTAGCTGGCTAGTTGGTCTGTCAGCCAGCATGTTTGAAAGATGGTGGGTCTGTCAAAGCGGCACGCAGAAATGTCACAGTCGTATTAGAGCTGGAAACCCCCCCAGCAGCAGCCCCCGTTTAAGTAGACATGAAGTGTGTTTATTTTAAAGAAAAGAAACAAGACTGGTCGTTTCTCCTGCACACCAGTCACCCAGCGGTGGACCTAGCTTGAGGCTGTGAAATTATTAGTGGCATTAAGTCAGAATTTATTCTTTTAACCAGTTTGTGTTTGAAGGCAGGTTGATTCATCTCAACATATCTATGCAATGCTTTTTTTTTTCTCTTCCCTTCATGTTAATACATCTATATAGTGTAGGTAACTTCATGATGTGGTAGGTTTCCTGGTTTGTGATGTAAGCTCCCCCTCCCCTGTCCTCTCCTCACCTGTGTCCTCTATAGGTGAGTATTCATTAATGCATTTGAATAAGTCTTTAGAAGAAGAAAAAAAAAAAAAAACCCCCACTACCTTTTGGTGGAGATTTAAGGATTGCTATTTCCGTCCCCTCTGCAGGACTGATCTTTCATGTGTTACCACTGATAATAGTTGACCTGGTTCCTCAGTGCTGTGCTTTTCTACTCGCTGGGCTGGCGATAAACTAGATTATCAACCGATGTGGTTGACCATGGCCGACTAAATGCAGCAAATCTTAACATGTGACAGTGCTGAGAGTGGCATGGTTATAATTGTAGGGGGATGGCACATGACTTTGTGTAAGGGGTGTCAAACCACCTTTTCAGCCTTTTTTTTTTTGTCCTGGGTTTGATATTTCTAGTTTTCTGGCTGAATTAAGCAGTCGCTTGTAATTCACGAGTCAATCGACACAGGATTAATCTGAATATTGGTGAATATCTGTGCTTTTGGACTGTGGTCGGGACAAATCAAATATTTTAAAGATGTTAACTTGGGCTCTGGGAAGTTGTGATAGGCAGACACTCTATATACTCTATGATGATCAAGTATTTGGGCAGTACTTTGTAGATTAATCGCTAAATGCTGCCCTATCTGGCTTTGTACAGCATGTTAAAAAAATGTAACCAACCTTGGTGTATGTGGACACAATTTCCCTCTGGTTATTATCAGCATTGTTGCATTAATTCGATAACATTGCTCCTTTTTTTGCTCCTCTAAAAGAAAGACAATGTAAAGCTGAGTGCTGGTTACTTTGATTGAATGCTGCCACTGTAGTTAACACATTGAACTGTTTGAGGCAGAACTGTCAGCTGGTACGTATGTGTGACTGCAGATGGTGAAATATGTGCACCACAACGTTTGATCAGATATTTCTCACCTGGTTTTTTAATGTGGTAAAAACTTGCGTCATCTTTCTCGGTGGAAGGACTTTGTGTCGCGCCTCTCGCGCTTTGTGCAGGTGTAAAAGGGCCACGCCACTCAAAAGTGGCATCTTTCTTTCGGCTTGAAGTCTCCTCCTGTTCAGATGTGGGCCCTTTCGAACTATCCCTTTTATCATTTTTGGCATGGTGTCTAAAAACAATATGGGCTCTCTGCAGTTATGTAATGCAGTATCACAGTTCTGGGAATTGCCCTTAAAATAGAGTTGCCAGTGATCTTGTATCAGTGTTGCTGTCTGAGTGCTCTCTCCCTCTCTTACCCTCTCAACCCACCACCTCTCCTTTGCTCTTTTTCTTTACTACTCCCACTCTAATTCTCCCTCCCTCTGCTTGCCCCCTTTCCTCTGCTCTCCTCCTTTCCTGTCCTCCCCACCCCCTCCTCGCTCAGCGCTTGCCGGTTCCCACTCTCCCTTTTCCCCCCTCTCTCTTGCTCTCAGTTGTGGATTTGGCGTATGCATAGAGCTGAGGCAGGGCTGGCTTTAAAGAAAAAGGCGTGCCTGAAACGGCAGATTTTCTTTTTTTTTTTCTTCTTCTTTTCTTTTTTTTTTTTCCTCCTACTTGGAGCTTCCGTCGGGGGTCCCGTATGTGTGTGTATCCTCCCAGCTGCAGAGACTAAGCCCCCCATACCCTGGGCTGACGCTCTCCAGGGAGCTCTGGAGCTTTTTAAAAACACTTCTAATAGTCTGACTGGGATCTCTTTGCCGTTAGTTACAAGAGTAGTCCATCAAATAGCATAGAAAACCTGTATTTGGCTCCTAATTAGGTCTTTGAGGCATTAATGGACAGGATTATGGCCCAGTGTATATATGTACCCATAGGCTACTCAGTCGTAAGCTACAGGGAAGTAGCTGGCAGTATGCAAATAATACCATAGATTTGCCTTTGGGCTTGTTGAATTCATGCATCAAGGCCTGTGTTGAGCCTACCTCAGCTGCATTAGGGCACTTACTAAATTCCTCTTACAGGGTTTTATTTTTTTTTTCATGTAATGTTTGAAGCTGCATTCATCTTTGTATATGCGTCTACTTGTTCTGGATTCCAACATATGAGCAGGTCTACCGATTGAACAATTGCCTGTGTGCACCATGGAACGGGGATGTTGTGTGTTTTTGCATGCGCAGGTTACTCGCATGTGTGCGCGCTTGCAAAGTTGAGGATTATGCAGAGCCAGCCGCGCGTTTCTCACCAGAGTTGTCAGATGCGCGTGTCAAATTTTTCTGACCAGTTAAAAAGTGATTTTGACTCTGGAAAAATATGGCCTGCTCCGAATGAAGCAGACACATCCAATTAGAATTATTCAGCTTTTCTATTTTTGACACCGTGGCACAGGAAGTGTAAAAAGGTTGCCCTTTAGTCAGTGGTTAAAGTGTGAAATCCCTCAGCTTATGGCGACGAGCAGACTTCAGTTACAGGTAGGCGTTGCAGCCGAGCCTCAAAGACATGCATGCCAACTAAATTATTCTTTTCACTGCAACATGACACTGATGTGTGCCTTTTAAGATTGTACGTATGTCACAGTATAATGGGTCAGGACATTTTCCATCACTATCCTGCCCCGTCCTACGATGTATGACAACTGTACAGGCAGCCATGTGTAGCGCGAGCGAGAGACGGGGGATGCAACCAGAAGTTAAACTGTCGGTGAATCTGGTGTGTGTGTGGTTTGTGAAGTGTCACTTTGTGCCTTGTCCATCACCAACTGTCATAGATACTCAACGACTACCTCCTGCTGAAAGTGTGCAAGTTGTGACACAAAGGCTTCTTGTTTGATGGAATTTTTTTTTTTTTTTCCCTCCCCCTCTACCTGCGCATCTTCATGCTGCCTGCGTCCGATCTCGCAGATATTCAAATCGGTCCGGCTGAGCGCGATACAGAGATAAGCCGAACATTTGCGATCATCCCAATATAACTTTGGGCTCTAAAAATAAATGCGGGTCAGGGAGCGGAGACTCTCCCCATGCACCCACATGTGGGCCTGGCTTGTGCAGGAGCGCTGTTAGTCCCGTCCTCTCTGCCTGCTTCTCACTGTCAAGGCCATATGTCACAACACACTCACACACACACACCCTCCCATCTATCCATAACTACAGTCGCACCCTCATATTGACATTGGCTGCTGCTCGTCTCTGCATTCTTGCAATTCTGCTCTAATGGCATATTCTTAAAGAGAGCAACGGCTTTTTACGTAGCTGTTAAAAGCATAGGTAGGCCTTGGAGTTAAACATTTGGCGCTGTGTGCGTCGGTAAAGGTGCCTTCCACAGTCTACACAATGTACATTTCCTTGACTCCTGCCTGAACAGATATCTACCCAAACATCATTGCTATGGGCTTTCCAGCAGAGAGACTTGAAGGCGTGTACAGAAACAATATAGACGATGTAGTACGGTGAGTTGGGTTTTCTTCTGCTTCTGACATGTGATCATAGAAAAGGGGAAATGTAAGAAGAGCATGTTATTATGGAGCGCGTGTGTTTGTTGGTGTCATATTGATCTAATAAATATATTCTCTCTCTGGTTGTGTTCTCTCCTGCAAACAGGTTTCTGGATTCAAAACATAAAAACCATTACAAAATCTACAACCTGTAAGTGTTCCACATGTACCTGAAATGCCCTTTGTTTTGCTTAATCACTTCCTCTGTATGTTCACTAACTGGATTTTGTTCTTCCCATTTCAGCTGCGCAGAAAGACACTACGATGCTGCCAAATTTAACTGCAGAGGTAGGATGCTTTAGATGTGCTATAGACGCTCATCACTCTTTTTTTTAAAAAAAATAAATAAATCTCATCTCACAAAATGTCCACTGTGTCTTCCTCCCTGCCTTGTCTCCTCTGACCTGTCCACATCCAACCCCCCTACCCCCCCTCTTTCTCTCTCTCTCTCTCTCTGACCGCATCCCGTCACGCATCAGTTGCACAGTACCCCTTCGAAGACCACAACCCTCCTCAGCTGGAGCTAATTAAGCCGTTCTGCGAAGACCTGGACCATTGGCTCAGCGAGGATGACAATCACGTGGCGGCCATCCACTGTAAGGCCGGGAAGGGCCGCACTGGAGTCATGATATGCGCCTATCTCCTCCATCGCGGCAAATTCCTGGAGGCCCAAGAAGCGCTCGACTTTTACGGCGAAGTCAGGACACGGGACAAGAAGGTGAGATATTGATCTACATGAGACCACATGTTTCACCGCAAAGACACGCCTCTAATTATTCTCATTATTGATAAGTCTGCAGATTAATTTCAGTATCTACAGATATTCAGTTTACAATGATAAAACAGAAAAGCTGAAAATACTGGTTGGTCCCAGAAAATATTTGGTATTTTTTGCTTGGAAAGGGATTTTGGCGACTTTTAATGTTTCAGTTTCAGCTGGATTTGCAAAGACTTAAACACGCACACAGAAAAGAGAACATCATTTGTACTTTCGGGATCTCTAAACATCGTTTTCTGTTTCAGGGAGTAACGATCCCGAGCCAGCGCCGCTACGTCTACTACTACAGCTACCTACTGAAGAACCAGCTAGAGTACAAGCCGGTGGCGCTCCTCTTCCACAAAATGGTGTTCGAGACTCTCCCGATGTTCAGCGGGGGCACCTGCAGTGAGTCACGCTCATGTTCAACTTTAACTCCAAACTAGGGCGTAGGCACGCATAGCGCTGTTCAAACGGAGCGAGAGCCTTGGATGTGTTGTGCACTGTAGGGCTCACCCACGCTACAGTTTAGCACCGTAGAACAAGAGAGGGCCGTCTGTGGTGGAGTTGAGTCGTCCTGCGCCGGGGTTTTAAAACCGAATCGTGTGTGGTTGGGTTCACTGCAGTATTTTTGGACGTTTTGACTAACAAGAGCAGGTTCTTATTGATTAAGTCCTCTTGTTGCTGCTTATAACGAGGCCAACTCAATCTCCGGCCGCTTAGAAAAAAAAAAAAATCAGGAATCAGATCCCCTTTGTTTGTCATAATAGGAATGTTATTCTGTCGCCTAAAAACAAGCACAAAAGAAATTGATTGCCTTCTAAGAATTTCACTATCTGAGCTACTTGAGCTGTCATTTTTAACTTTAATTCTTCCTCAGAAGGATTTCCTTCATAGGAATCAGGGCTGTGTGTGCTTTAAGTTGTTCATGTGCACAGTATTCAGAGGAATTACAATATGCACTGCTTAAATAGTGGAGCAGTAGTAGCAGACAGTAAAAGCCACACGAGCATGGATTTTATGTAGGAAGCAACTAAAAGTCAGTCACGGAATTTAATATTTTGATAAGTGATGTATTTATTTTGCGTTAAGTGTTGATAGGTCACTGTAGTTAAGTGTCAGTCTGTTTACATATCACTGCATGTTTGCTCGGAGCGTGAGTGCTATGACTTTGTTGTAAAGTGGTGTGTGTGTGTGTGCAAACAGTGGCACTTGTTCCCTCCGTTCAGTGGCAGAGTAACGCGCACGCAAAGGCATCGTCATCCATAGTGATTTAGCTTCCCACATCCTCTAACATCAGATTTCACTTACGCGTTTGTTAGACCTTCGGTACAGTTTATGAGCAGGTAATGACGCTTTTCCACCTTTCAGCAGGAATGTGTTTGTATTGGCCATATTTTCATTTCTGTGTATTTTACTGTTTAGAGGAATAGTTCTAATTAGTGGTTAAATAGTTGTCTGTGGTCATTTAATCCTGTTTTTCTGCTCAGACGTATCGGAGTCACACAATGTTATGCTTTTCTTGTATCTGAATTTGTCCATTTTTAACTAACGGTCTGAAAAAGTGCCTCTTCTTTCCTAATTTCTGTGGCTTCGTAAAACCTAACACCTCACTGATGTCCTTCTCTTTCCTCCTAACTCTCACATAAAACAAAAGGCCCTATTCTGAGATTGACGTCTTGATACCTGTACACACATATCACCCTTTTCCGGCCTCAGGTTTGATCTTTGCCTCAGCGGTGAATGAAGAGAAACCTAGTTTGATCATTCTGTAAAAATAACTCAACATCACACATTTCTCTTTGTCAAATTCACCAAAGAAAACTGATGTTTTGTGGTCGCTTGTGATCGTCAGCAGTCTCAAGTTCCCCCTTTCCTCCTTCCCCTTTGTGTCACAACACAGGTCAAATGTTTAAGATGTGCACCTCCACTTTGAAGCCTCGTACTGTCTGTTGTTTGTAAGAAAAGCTATGTAGATGTAAATATCTGTCAATATTTGTGTAGAGCTCTTGTGTTTGTGCCTGCTGTGCTGTCAAGCCCCTGAAAGGCCAGCCAGGCCCTGTTTTGTGATAATCTCCTTGTTTCTCTCTAAGGGGACAGTACCGTTAAAAACAGGAGCGAGCCGACCCCTCAGGGCTTCAAGAAAGGGAATTGGCATTGGGGTAAATGAGCCTTTCATCCATTATTATTATTTCACTCATTTGCTTTTATATGGCCCCAGAGATCCACCAGGAAGGAGCAGTCTGAGGTAGACATGTTGCCTAGCAGGATAGGACTAGCTTACAGGCATGATGATGTCATCTCCCACTCTACCCCACCCTGACAGGAAGAAGGAAGGTTAAAAATTCTTGTGTATGCAACGTGTTGCGCTGGTCCAAGACCAAACCGTGACTGTCTATCAGAATAGGGTCCTGTGTCTCTGGTTCTGGGTCTCTTTGGGTGTTATATTTTGTGGTCTGTTACTTTCCCTCTCTCCTCATTAATTTTAATATAATGCTTTGCACTTACTCAGTGGGGGGTGGTGGTGGTGGTGGACTGGTTTTTTTTTTTGTTTTGTTTTTTTTTGCCAAACACGTAATACAACTGGTAATCCTGTCTTGCTGTCTTGATTCACTCCTCTGTCACTCACACTTGTTTCGTTATTTTTGTTTTTGTTTCTTCTCTTCCCCTCAACAACTCTCACAATCGTGTCTCCCCTTCCCCTCCTCCCTGTGCAACGTCGACACCCTTTGCAGATCCCCAGTTTGTGGTGTACCAGCTGAAAGTGAAGATTCACACATCGAACCCCACTCACACGCGGCGCGAGGACAAGCACATGTTTTTTGAATTCCCCCAGCCGCTGCCAGTTTGCGGAGACATCAAAGTGGAGTTCTTCCATAAACAGAATAAGATGATGAAGAAGGTTAGTTGTGTTTGGTGTGTGTGTTCATTGCAGCTTACTGTCACTGACAAATTTCTGTTGGTCATTAAGAGCTTGTTTCAGCTGTTGATTGTTTTGACCTCCGCTAGGTCAAAGAACAATCGGTAGGCATTTGAGTAAGCGCTTTCTCACATAGCTGTGTGCCAGCAATTAACGGATAAGACTAGTGGCATTCTGTATTTTATTTTTATTGCCAACAAATCCCATGAAAAGACCAAAACCAAAAATGCATTAAAAAAAAAAAAAAAAGTTTTTTGGGTTTTTTTTGCACGTTACCAAAGTCAGATAATAGCTTATTCCTCTGTGCTGTAGAGCTCTTTGTCGTCCAAAAACTATTAAAAACACATTAATGAGCCACACTGTTGCGATGGTTGACAAGTTTCTTCATTACCATGAGCACAGGCACTGTGGTTTATTTTGAGTTGATCCCGCATTCGCCGCCTTGCTGCCATAAATACTTACAAAATGAATGTGTATTAATCCACGGCTGAAAATAGTCCCCAACGAATGCACTATTTACTCCTCTTTGAGTAATGTTTGCTAAAAACTACAGTGCCTGAAGGCTCAGTAATTTCCTAAAACAGCTTGGGTGTGTTTTTAAAAACTGCTCACAAATATAGTTCCATTTTTGTTTTTAAAACGATTCCTAAAGATTCACATCTTCAGTAGAAACAAATGGGTTTGCCTGAGAGGCACAGATGGAATGGGGAAGTCGGAAAGTACGGAGACAGACTAACACATCTTGTTGATGTAGTTTTTTATTTTATTATGATTTGTTAACAATAAATATAAAAAAAAAACTTGTAATAATGCTTGTCTTTTGAGCTCCTAAACAAATTAAATCAAAAGTTTAATTTCACATTTCCTCTCATCGCCCCTGCAGGACAAAATGTTCCACTTCTGGGTGAACACCTTCTTCATCCCTGGACCAGAGGAGAGCGTGGACAAGATGGAAAACGGGGCGGTGAACAACGCAGACAACCAGCAGGGTGTACCGGCACCGGGCCAGGGCCAGCCGCAGAGCGCCGAGTGCAGGGACAGCTGCAGGGAAAGCGGCAGGGAAAGCGACAGGGACAGGGACTACCTCATCCTGACGCTCACTAAGAACGACTTGGACAAGGCCAACAAAGACAAAGCTAACCGCTACTTCTCGCCAAACTTCAAGGTAAAGATTTCCTTTAGATATTTCCTTGTTGATCTCCTGTTATTCAGTCAGTATTTTAATGGAAAGAGCAACGATGAAACTTGTTCATGATCATTTTGAAATTGCACAGACTGAAGTTAGTTTTTAATTTGCAATTCCAGGTGAAGTTGTATTTTACAAAAACCGTGGAGGAGCCTTCGAATTCAGAGGCGAGCACGTCAACATCCGTCACCCCGGATGTTAGCGACAATGAGCCAGACCATTATCGATATTCTGACACCACTGACTCTGATCCGGAAAATGAACCTTTTGATGAAGAGCAGCACACGCAAATCACAAAAGTGTGAACTCTTTTTAAACAGGAAAAGAAGAAATTATACACCAGAAAAAAAGGAGAAAACTTGAATATAAACTCAAAAGAAGAACCTTTGTCCCTTCCCTCCCCCAGACGGCAATAGAATATCATCATGTCAAATGCCAATTTTAGGGAAAAAAAGATAAATATCCTGACCAATATATTGTTTTTTTTATTTTTCTTTTTTTCTTTGGCACGGCCATGTACCATGTGCGAGGTATTGACACTGTTGCCCCATGGGAAAAGGTGCTGTAGCTATAAAAATGTATTTATATATATATATATATATATATATATATACATACGTATATGTATATACATATATTTTACATGGCATATATAAAACAAACTTTGGGTCAAAAGACAAGGAAAAGAAGGTACCACATTCAGGGAGACGGGAGTTGAAGTTGTGGAGAAGTTAGATTGATATCTTTAGGACTATGCTGCTTCCTTTTCTTCCTGGTCTAACCAAAAGGCCAAGTGCTTTTGCCAGTCATTTTTCACTTCCTCTCTTCTCCTTCTCCTTCTCCCCCCCCTTTCTTCCTTTCTTTTCATCTTTACTTTCTCCCTTCTTCCATTCCTATCCTCCTTTACTGTGAATGCTTCTTGTGCTCTTTGCAGGCTGTCTCACGTGACTTTTGGTCTTTGTGCAGTGCAAACTGCATGCGGGCAGTGGGTTGGGGGTGGGCGGGGTTATGAAGAGGCTGTGATGATGTCTAAAGCATTGCCATTCCTGTTCCCACTGTGTATACGTTAAATTATGCAGAACAAGGCATCCCATGTAATTGTTAATGTTTTTTTTTATCCTAAGATAATAAAAATATAATACACAAAACAGCAGGGAGACAAGTGTTTGCAATAATGTCAACACTACATTTAAAGGACAATGGTGATTTGCATGTATTGGAATTGGCGTCCATCCCTAATAAATGTATGCAATGTTGTCTTTTCTTAAAGAAAACCAGCTTTGAGATGTGTCTTCTGCGTGGGGTTCCCCAGTGCTTTGAGTCATGCTCAGAAAATTACATCAGAGGTTTATGTAATATTCTCCCTTCGCTGTCCGCAGTTAATGAAACTCATGCAGAATGAAAATGGAATTTTTCGGAATATGCAGTTGTCATCAAACGCCGAGGCCAGCGCAGTCTTCAACTGACACCGTTGCTGTCAACTGAAGCCGTAATTTTTAAGTGACAGCGCCCGGCCCCTGTAATCTAAACTTGAGCATGCGTGAGTTGGAGCGAGTTCAGCCAGTCGGGGAGAAAAATGTGCACAAGCGATGCACTTGATGAGAAAAATGCTGTAAAGCAGGTTGTCGTCTTTTGCAGCTGCTGGAGCTGTGTTAACAGTAACTTCCTGCTTTAAAGGTCAGCGCTGCAAATAGCGGGTGGGACCTGAGGTAGGGAAGTGATGGAAGGATTATTATTAAAAGTTCAACTGAGGGCGAAGAGCCCACTTCAAACAAATAAGTGACTCAACCAGAGAGCTGAACATCTACATTAATGGCGGTCTGTCAGTGAGAAAAAGAGTACAAGTCTGTTGAAAGAGCAACAGTTTGCTTTCATTCAAACTTGACTGGTAATTGAAGCTCGCACAACTGAGATTTCACATTTATGGTTTCTTAATAGATCAGATGGAGTTTTTGTTTTGATATTTCTGCCAAGTAACAGTCCATTTCCTGAATTAATTTCAAAGCAAACTGACCCCTGAACTCTGATAAAAAAACATTAACATTCGTGAGCCAAAAAAGCAGCCTGACCTCATACCAAACCATCAGTGCTGCACGCAGAGTGATTGCTGCTGGTTAATCGAGGCGTTCTCCACATGAAATGAGCAGAGGAAGGAAAGGCTACCAGCCCAGGAGGGAGGAGCGCGAGGCCTCGGGGTAGACAGAGCCTGCTCTGCTCGCAGGCTTGTGTGACTCCCCAAATGAAAGAGTAAAAGGATTAACGACCATGTCGCTGTGATAGGCGAGCAGAGAGTGGCAAGACCCTGGCTAAAGCATGGCCCAAAGTCTCCTGATAATAAAATAAAGTATGAATTAAACATATATTTAAAAAAAAATGTTCCACCCCCAGAGGCAGGCAGTCACATAATCCCCTTCTGCTCTATTAAGACTCGGTCCCCGGCTCTTTCGTGTTGATAGAGACATCAAAGCCAGCCAGTGCAGCGTCAAATGAGACAGGCAGCAGTCGCAGGGGCCCGACTGTAATTGGCTGAGTTGAGAAGGAGGGAGAGACTCTGGTAGATTAATAATGAATGTGCTGTGCTGGGTGGAGAGAGACCAGAGAGAGATGCCTCAGCTCTCCACAGGCAGGCGAGACTGAAGAGAGCGGAGAGAGGGTTGACTTCAGTAGAGCTCGAGAGTCCACATCTTTGCTTTTGATTGCCCTCCTCATCACATACACAAACACTGACATAACAGCAGAAGCAGCAGCTGAAATATTAATCTAATCAAAATACAGCTTCATTTGTATGTCTTGAGCACCGGCTCCTCTAAAAGATGTTCGTTTTGTTTGATTTTTCTGCATCAACACCTCTCGAGATGAGATAAAACCGGAGATTTGGGGGAATATTTACTTTGTGTATATCAATCTTAATTTTCCTCCATTATGTGGGTTGTATATTACACATCCAGCCAAACAAAGATGCAATGCGACACACTTTTTGACATAAAAACCAATATGATTTGAAATTATATTAGTGTTGCATTTACAATCTGTTGGTCCACTAATCCTGTTTAGTCCATTATGGAGCCCACTTCCAACAGAAAAAGGGGGGAAAAGGGAACATTTAGACATGATAAAAACATAAATATTCATGTTTCATTCTGCATTCATTCAAGTTACGGGATACTGAGTTAGAAGATATGTCAAAGTTATGACAGATTAAAGGCGTGGTTACAGGAAATTTGGAAATGTATTTTGTGGCAAATTCAGTTAATTCCAATTGAATAGGTACAATTAGTGGAGTCGCTCATGTCAATTCATCACTTTTTAGTTCAAATTTAGTCAACTCTGACATGCAAATTTGCGTTTCTATTGACCAATAGCAAGCCAGGGGAATGTATCTATGTTCCCAGGGTCCTAAATTCCCCAACCTTTAACCCTAGAACTGGGGAACATAGAAATGACCCCCCCTCCCACCCCCACCACCTCTGGGGGTACAGAGAGCTGGAGAGTCCAAAATGGAGGAAGCTATATGTAGCCTATTAGCTGTAGGCTCTATTGGCAGGAATGAAATAGAATATTCATAGGTGTCTTTTTATTAGTGTGTAATCACCTGAATATAGGAATTATTGTGTTTTCGTTACCTTAGAATGAGACGTTTTTATCTACAGGTCGCTTTCCATGGAGTCCGCCATGTTGAACCGCCGTGTTTCTACAGTAGCCCAGAACAGACAAACCAAACACCGGCTCTAGACAGGACAGGGTTGTTTGTGTTTTTGTGCATTTCACCACCACCGTAAGTTTCTCCTCGCGCTTGAAAGGGGAGGGTTACACCACTAAGATTGCCTTTAAATCCCTACACACTGGACCTTTAAGTCAAAAGTTAAGGATGATTTAGTAACCTCTAATAATTGTGATTTAGTTAACTCCATAATTGTGACATATGAGCCCTAACATCCATGCATAAAGCGTTTTCACCTTTCACTGTTTTTTGTTTGTTTTTTGCGGAGGGTAGCGGCCTTGTGTAGCTCAGTGTCAAACTACTGTGAAGGAGGAAAAAAAAAAAAAGCCAACACCGAAATATAGAGATTTAAGCATAGTATTATGATCAAATGAGGGGGTGGGGGAGTGTTGTGTGGGGGGGGTCAGTCTGGCCTACAAAGACAAGATAAAGCCAAGCTGGTAACCCCATTTTCCCTTCCATCTGTTGGTAGCAGCTTGTAGAGCATGCTGCCACTCACACAGACCTTGGCAACCCATCCCCCAAGCCCTCTTTCTCTGGCTGACATGCACAGCTGTGTTGCGTTTGGATTAGGCCAAGAATATAAACAGGAAGTAGAAATTAAAACAAAAGCTTAAACACACCACAACCAGAAACACACACACACACACATCTCTAACCCACGAGGCAGTGTAAGTTTAACCAACAGACTCTGCAGCAAACAGAGTGACAGCCTGTGGAAAGTGCACACACCCACAATATAGACCATCGCACTACAAATATACTACAGTATGAACAAGTCTACTCTGGCCTCCCACAGAGCTCATATAAGACCCAGCAAAGGACCACAGGCAGTATCCATTTCTCCTGTGCCCACACTCATGCTCACACATATGGTCTTTTTCACATGCTAAGTGCTTCTCTGCCTCCTCCTCCCCTCCCCCTTCAATGGTGGTCTGCTGTGGGAAAAAGGCTGATTGAGAAAACTAGCAAACACCGCTCAATCAGTCTTGGAGCATGCCAGTGTAATGTATGCTAATAATGGGAAAAAGTGTTTTTGGTTATGGGATGTGCGGCAGAACATTTATCGTACCGAAAAAAATACCCAAGGAAAAGTGGAGATAAAGACAACAATAAGTTGGCCCGGTTAACTGTATGTATTCACCCTGTTAATAGTACGAAGAGATTGTAGAAACCACTACATTTCTGTGCAGATTATTCAAATAATCCACTACAATAAAGCAGCTTTTCTTTGAAGGGAGATTAAGAATGAATAGTTAAAGATATCTTTTTTCAACATATTATTAAACATTTCATTTTAAATTATTTTGTTCTAATGTAGATAATCTTAATTAATCCCTTTTAGGTTGAAACTGCATATGGTCATGTTGATGGATCACGACACATAAAAAAATTATAATCTGCCTATATAAAAA